TTTGAAAAAGTGTACTTTGGGGTAGGAGTCGTAACGAGAGTCACTTCCGAGGGGGGGGAAGGGGGGGGGGTAACTAGCAGAAGTTCTACACAACGCAATGCGTGTCCTGCCCTCAGTAGGGTAGTTGCACGAGAGGGCCACTGGCACTTTGCTCCGATCACTACATACACCTGCCATAAGTAAACTGGTGATCCTGTTGATGTCGCCGTGGACGATGGAGCTGCAACACTCGCAAACATCTTCTTTCAAGCAGGTTTTTACTTTCTATTTTAGTAACGCCACAAAACGTTCATTTGTGAACCATTTTGCTAACCCTTTTGCTTCGAGGCTCATAAACCACGACCCACCGCCTTTCAAATGGTTCAGCGTTTCGAAATGGAAGTCGAGTGCATGACGGCAGTGCTAAGGTCACGGAGTCATCTTATAATTGAAGCACTGAACTATAAAGTTCATGACGAGTGAGAAACCCGAAAGACCAGATGAAGCGTTGCTGTAGGATTTCATCGAAAGCGTGGTAACAGCACCAAATAAGGAAAATACGAGAAGATGGGATGAATATAAAATAACGAAAAGTTGAAAACGGTACACAGTCCCACCACATGTGCCACAATTGCGGCGCTAAAGTGATTGATTGATAGGAACGTGGCCATGGCTGATGTGTCTCTCGCGAAAAGGCCTCACAGCCCGAGGGCCATGACCCTATTAAGGACTCCCTATTCCCTTCCGGGACGGATGTCTTGCATGCTCTCGCGAAGGTCAGCCACTGAGCTTATCCTACGTGAATAGTCGCCGCTCCCTGCGGTAGTTGATTACTCCTTAGGGATCTTGATCTTTTATCAATAACACGTCGATTTATCGACAACCAAGCCCTACCCTCCCTTCGCCGGTGTGGCCTGTCTGTTCTCTCTTGAATCAAGAACAATCACCATTGGCCACCGTCAGAGCTACGTCTCATTTTCAGATGCCGTGCTTCGCAGAACAATTCCAGTCGAGCAATTCCGCCAGCTCAGGAAGAGAGAGGAAGAGGGGGGAGCGAGGTGGGGTGAGAGAGAGGGGGAAGATGAGAGGAGTGATAGCTGAGTGAGTGAGTATTGCCAATGACTATTTATCTTTTGATCTCGAACCACAGAGCCTTGAACTGAGGTATTCACCTTATGGACATAAATATAATAAAGATCTCGAAAGCCATAGAGAGCGGATCCGCTCCGAGTAGTGAGTGAAGTCAAAAAAGCTGAATCTATAATTAGCCAGGCGACGGGCAGATGTTCGAGCGTGAAGGTAGGAAACTACGTGTAGCTTAAGCAATCAGCACTATCCTACCATACTGTTTTGAGCAAAAAAAAATGAAGAAAACGGCACCAGGTTCCTGGTCCCAGATCAGACTCAGCTCTAAAATATCTCGAGAAACAACGAAGCGTATGGAAAAATGAAAATGGAAAGTTTCTCCGGATTAGTATTCGGCGACAAAAACGAGTGACTTCTACCGCTTCCTTTCTGGGTTTTGAAGTCTGAAAAAAAGGCATTCCTAATCACTACGCTACCCTTATAATTCCATGCCTTTTCTGAACATTTCAAGATGCTGTGGGGCACACTCGAACTAACTCGAAGTGCCCCACAGCATCTTGAAAGGTTCAGAAAGATGCGCAGATCAACTGTCCCTGGAGATAAGATGGTCCAGTTGTAAGTCGGGAGCTGGTCGCGGTTTTCAAGCCATTCCTTGTGGCGCGCCAAAGACTACCAGCGGTGTGGCCATAATCTCCCTCGACTTTTCCGTGACTCATTAGTTAGCATGGAACGTTTCGACGACCTTTGATGAAGATTTCATCCAGATCATCCAAAGGATGAGTTCTGGACTCTGCTGGAGGAGAAGACAGCTGAGATACCGTCAGAAGACGTCGTAATTGTCGCTGGTGACCTTAACGGGCACGTAGGCGCAACGAAAGACGTTACACTTACATGGTCGTTCCTGGAAGTGGCCCCAACAACGCATTCTGGAATATGGAACCACATCTCGCCTTCGTGAACACAAAATTCCTTAGACGTGATTCCTACCTGATCTCCTTCTACGTCGGGGGAGGGGGCCCAGAACAAAATAGTATTTTTTTTCTCAGGCACCGCGATCAATAGCTCGTCAAGATAGTAGCGAGACAGTATAAGACAGTAGCCGCGCAACATCGCCCGCTGATCTGTACGCTGGAGATACATCACCCACATCAAAACAGGTCGAACGATTTGGTACCGAAACTTAAATGTCGAGCCCGCATCCAAATTTGATGAGTTGTGGGCTCAGATAGTTGTAACAA